AGACGGCACGGACCACAGAGACGGAGAGACCCTCAGGAGCCCCGCCAGCCACCCGCTGACACTCTCGCCCCAAGGGCCTCCTTGAGCAGCCTCACCGGTCAGCTCCGGCCCGCTTCTCCCCACACGAAGCCCCAAGCTCCCACCCGGCCCAATGGAGGGGTTTACGCTGTGCCCCCCGCACACAGCACCACCCAGCTGCGAGCAGCCGGAAACCGTAACGAGGAAGGGCATCAAGACTCCCTCACCTCTGACGACCAAGCTCGAGACAGGAGGCCCCGCTCAGGCACCAAGGGCTCTGCTGGCCAGGGCGGACAGTGTGGTCAGACACAGACCATCCCGGGGGCACCCCCTACCCCGTCTGACCCTCGCAATCATCCTGGAAGGTCACTGGGATTCTCTCCATGTCACGGGAGTCGGACGGGAACAGACGCCCCACTGTCTGGCTTGGCCCTGGTGGGGGCATAACGCCTCCCAGGGCTGGCGTGGTGGCTTTCGCAAGGGGCCGCCACAAGCAGTGACCAGAAAAAACAGCCCCCTCTACCTGCTGAGTGCCCGCCGTGCCCCGCGGGCCTCCATGGCACCATCTCACTCAGCCCCATGACCGTCTTTCAGGCCCAGGACACCATCCCATGGGATGGGCGAGGAAGCGAGGCTGGCGGACACAGCCTTGCCCCAGAGCGAGTGCCCCCCAACTGCTCCGAGCCGGCTCCACGGGGAACCCTCAAAGCCAGCCCCCCCCCACGGCAGGAGGGCCTCACGAGGAAGGCGGCTGGAAGCTGTGTCCCCAGAGTCCCCGTCTGCTTACATCAGAGCAGAGCGCCACACGCAAGGTGGCAACAGGCACGCCCGCCCAAGGAGCAAGGGCAGGGTCCAAGTCACTCCCACCCCACTTCCCTGGGGGCTTCGAGTCCCACTAGCTAACTGGAGTCGCCAATGGCTCTGCCCTGGGGGCCAGGCTGGCGGGGACCCGGAAGTGGGGAGCAGCGCAGGAACCAGCAGGAGCCCTGCAGCAGGTGAGCAGGGGACCACGACGACCGGTCAGACGCCCTCCGGAGGACAGACACACCGGTCCCCCAGGACAACAGGGAGGCCTGGGAGCACAGGAACTACAAACACCGGGGAGTGGGGCCACAAACTCCCCAAACCAGCGAGCCTGGGGGCTGGGGTCCCGCCTCTGGGAGCAGCCTGAGTCCCGACACCCCCCCACCGAGGAGTGCCCCTCATCTCCCCAGCTGTCAGGGCCCCGGGCAAGCTGGCCACCGAGGCCGGATGTCCTCAGTTGACAGGCCACCGCCACCGGCCAGGACAGCAGCAGCCGGCAGGGCACGAGAGCTGCGACCACTCCTCCCGCTGCCCGATGGCCATCAGGCTCTGGCCACCCCGCCCACCCGGGGCTGAACTTTGCACCCCACGCCATCTGGGACGGAGAGGGACAAACACCGCCCACCCTCCTCCCCGGGTGCTCCTGGAAGCTCTGTCTGGCTTCACTGCTGCGCTCCAGACACCCGGTGCCGCCCGCCGCAATGCCCAGGGCCAGGATGCCGGGCGGCTCAGAGCAGGGCTCCACCGCAAAAATATGAAAATGAAACCTTCTGCGGTCGAGTATCCAAGACAGAACGCTTCCTCACCGCCCACCGCAGCGGCCAGCCCACCAGCGGTCCCGGGCACGCAGGGAGGGGGCAGAGCGGGGACGCACGGCGAGATCACCATGCCAGCGGGAGTTCGGAGGCTGGGCCCGGCCCCCGCGGCCCCAGCGGCCCCGGCGACCCCAGCGGCCCCGGCGGCAGGACACACCTGGCAGCTGAGCCCAAGGGGCCCCACGGCAAGGCAGGGAGAGAGCTATGGGTGGGCACCGGCATCCTCTGGGTTCACACAGGGAAACCGAGGGAGGGGGAGACCTCAGGGCAATTCTGCGACACTTCCAGACACTGTCCCCAAAGAAAGAGGACCGTCTGGACAAAAAAAAAATTTAATTTAAATTCAGGGGCACACAGCACATCCCGGGGGAGGGCACGGTCCTACCACAGCCCAGGGGTAACCCAGGGGGGCACGAGAGGCTCCCCGAGGGTGCTTCCCGCTCTCCCAGGCAGCAGGAGATGCGGCCCCGGCCACTCCGCCCAGAGCCAGCCGCCACGCGCCCCTCCGTGCCTCTGAGCACTGGGAGGCGCGCCCTTCCCACCGCAGCCACCACACCCCGTGCCAGATTCCGGGCCCTTTCACTGCGCTTTGGGGGCCGGCACAGCCGACAGGAAGCCTGTGGAACTGACCGCCCTGCTTTATTTAGAAGTCCCAGAGCCGCCGGCCGACCGGGCCAGCAGGCTGCACCCCCGCAGCAACACGGTTCCCATGAAGACTGGTTTGCAGACAGGAAGCCTGCCCTGAGGAACAGAGAAGGCGCCTCCTTCATGGTTTTCTACCAAGCAACAGACCCACGACAGCAAAAGCCTCGCCCAGGAGAGGTCACAGGAGGCAGAAGCCAGCCAGGCCGGCCTGGGACCCCCGCCCAGGAGCTCCTTACCGGGTCTGCGGCCCCCCCGCTCCCCAACCTAGGGTTCTCTTCCATAAAATGGGGGGAAGGATAGCTAGTTCTCAGGACTGCAGATCCCGGGGGCTAGCAGGGCACGCTCGCTGCCCAGCCGTGCCCTCTACTCCTGTCCCCAAGCAGTCAACAGCTGAGCAAGACTCCGCCTGGACGACAGCACCTACGGAGCGGGACGCCTGCCTTCTGCGTGTTCACACGCACAGTGCGAACCCCGTGCACACACACACGCACGCGTGTGCACACACGGCTTTGCACACACATGCCCGTGCCCACGCTGTAAGCATTCAGGAAACGACCGACAAGACAACGTGCACAGTCTACACACCAGCTCTACGAAGCGCACCTGAGACCCTGTACTCCCGCGGGGTACCGCTGGCGGGGGGGTGGGGTGGACAGGTCCCAGACAAGGGCGATTCTGTCTCCAGGGCACGCCAGGCAGTACCGGGGGCGTCTGTGGCTGTCACCACTGCGGGTGCTCCTGGCATCCAGTGGGTCGGGCCAGGGATGCCGCTCAGCCCCCCACTCCAGCCCTCACGCCCGTCTTCCTGCCGCAGACCCCCACTTTGGACCTGCAAGCTCACTTCTTCCTCCTCTTCTAATTGCCCCCCCATGCCCAGAACAACCCCCTGAAACGGGGGCATGACTCCCCACAGCGCAGGCTGGCAGGGAGAGGGCCGGGTGCCTCTCTAGGGTCACAGGGCAGCGGCAGTGCGGGACCAGAGACAGGTGGTGCTGCTGTCTCTGTGGTGTAGTGCTGTGCCCCCTCCCCGAGGCAGGCAACTGGACCCTTCGGGCAGCGGGCCCCGCTGGGTCTCCCAGTTCAGGGAGACTGGAGACACACACCAAGGCTGCAGGAGCGTGAGCCATGCACTGCTCCCGGAACCCCATGTCCATCCAAACCTCGGGTGCTCAGGATGAGTGGCAGGGCATCCAGAGGCTCACAGGCCCCCAGGAAAAGGCCCTCTGGCAGTATCCTTAACACGCCAATAACTGCTCCGGTCCCCTTCCCATAATAAAGTCCACGTCATGCTGCAAAACCAGCCACAGCCACGCCAGCCTCCCCAGAGGCCCCCCAGAACCCACTGCAAGTCTCCTCCGCACTCTGAGCTTACTCTCCACCTGGCTTTTCTGCAAAGTTGGCATATTTTACAGTCTTTGGGTAAACTGAACGCGTCTGTTTAAAAAAAACAAAACAGGGAAGATATTTCATCAAACGGAGGGCCCAGCAGGGCCACTGCAGGCAGGAGAAGCAAGGCATTCCCGCCAAGACCAGCAGCCTCCCACGAGGCCACGGACACGGCTCGTTCACCGGCAGACTCGGCTCCTCTCAACGGTCCAGCACACCCCTCTGAGCCAGTGCCTCCTCCCACCCGGGGCCCGTCCACGCTCCCTCCGAGGGCGCGTGTAAGCACTTCCAGCCTTCCCTGCAGTGTGGGAACCCAGAAGAGCTCAGGAGAAGGGCAGGGCAAGGCTTTCTGTTTTGTAAACGACCTTCCTGCCTTGGGCAGTAGAGTCCTTCAACAACTCCCCTCTGAGTGACAGCGCTTTGCCAACAGCTGGGCCGACGAGCTCCCTACAACAGGTGTGCCCTGGGGAGACGGAGACTGGGACCCTGGTGACCGGGACAGGAATCTTCCCCAGGACGGGGAGGACCCGGGAAAGGGGCTCCCCACAAGACGAAAGGAATGGGTTTGGGGAAGGGTGATGAGCCGGCCGGCTCTGAGGACCCCCCCCTAAAACGGGAGCCCTGAGGGAAGGAAGGGTAGTCCTCTCCCGCAGGTGGTGTGCCCCGCCGAGGGGATGGGGTGCTACAGGGGGACAGACCCTGTGCATAGGAACAGGGCTCCACCTCCTGGGAAGAACCAAGACGAGATCCTGGGAGGTGAAGGGTACGGCTGGTGGGCCGCAGCCCAGAGGTCTGGCCCTGAGCAGATGCGGGGGCAGCGAGAAGGGAACAGCCCGCAGCCCAGGGACGAAGGGCTTACTGGCTGAGAAGTGGCATAGGACCCGCGCTCCAGGGTTCTGGGGAGCCCCCCACCCCGGACAGTGCTGGCAGGGATCCTCAGTGGAAGGTGCGGGGGCCCCTAATCTGGGCATGAGGGGCAGGGCTGTCCCCACGAGGACCTGGACGCCTGATGTGCACACAGAAGCAGGGCTGGCCCTGGGGGACTCCGGAAGCCCCACACGGGCAGCGCAGGCACGGCTGACCCTGGAGGCTCCCGGGCTGACCTGGGCGGCACCGGCAGGGCCGACCCTTGCCGCACACCTCCCCCAGGGACCGGGGCTGGCCGTGCACAGCGCAGGCTGGGGCCGGCCCCCCGGAGCCCCGCGCGCGCTGCGGACGGCACGGGCAGGGAGCGGCCCGGGCGGCGGGCAGCACGGCGGGGGCGGCCGCGCCCGGCCCGCGCCGACACCCGCACCCGGCCCGCGGGACCCCGGCAGGCCCGGCCGCACTCACCGAGCAGCAGCAGCTTCAGCTCGCGCCGGGCGTCGCGCTTGTCCCGCCGCAGCTGCTTCTCGATCTCGGCGTTGATCCGCTTGGACTCCTTCACCTCATCGCTGAGGCAGCACGCCATC